ATGTGTCCTTTGTATGCTTTTTTAAAAAATATACAAAAATAAGAACAAGTAAGGTGTAAATAAATAATAATAATAAATTATAATAAAATAAGAGGAGAAAGAGAAGAGCCATTGACGACACGACACGACGATAAAAAAATGTTTGGTATTTGGGTGTGCGTGGCACATGCTTAGCCACCTTCATATACGACAACTCCTCTCTAATAGCCTGTTTGTATTTTTCTTTATTTGCCTATTGACTATGACTATTAACTATTGTTCTTGCTTTTGACATGATTGATTTTTTATATAATGGAGTATATTATTTTTAGAAAGGGTAAATTGCATATTTAGTCATTCATTTTCTTACAATTTTATTTTGATTGCTTAACTATTTTTTTCGATATCACATTTATATTTTGGCCATTTGCAGTTAAAAAATAAATAGAATTATTGATGTTATAATTTTTTCGGTAAACAAGTATTTAGTACTTAAATTATCAATTTTGGTCTATTTTAGTATCTAAACTTTCAAATTTTTCAAAATCATACAAAATGTTTTGTTTTTGTTTCCTTGTAGTACCCCCACCATTTAAAACTTAACGCGCTTAATACATAAACTATCAATTTTGGTTCATTTTAGTACCCAAACTTTTATTTTTTTCTCAACTTAATATTAAATTTGGAACACGTGCTAAAATGAAACAAAAATTAAACTTTAGATATTATTTTGAAAAAATTGAAAGTTTAGGTACTAAAACATATCAAAATTGATAGTTTAGGTACTAAATGTATAATTTACCATTTTTAATGATAACGTGACATTACCTTATGATGATATCAACGTTGTCGTTACTTTTTTTTACATACGACCAAAATGAAATCAAACCATAACATTATATACGATTTTTATGAAAATATAATTAGGTGACCAAAACAAAACTACGAAAATAGGTGGATGGCTAAATACATATCTTACCCTTTTAAAAATAATATTTTTTTAACATTATAGTTTAATATAATATAATATTTTAATTATTTATTTTTCTTCTAACAATTTTAAGATTAAAATCATAATATATATATACTAACAATAAGTTGATTTAGTGCGATGAAACACTAAATCCCTGACGATTGCGAATAGAAAAAATTAGATTGAGAGAGTCGTCTTTACCTCTACAATTTCGATCCGGATTAATCGATTAATAGATAGGATATTAATAATTATAATATATATTAAAGATTGATGAAATTTAATATTATAATCCTTTTAAAGGCATAGACGGAAAGAGTAACATGATGCGATGCTAGAAATTCAACTCAATGCAAATGGACATTTAATATAAGAGATGCGATAACATCACTTGACAGTTTTCTTCAAATGCAAGGAAAACCAATGAATTTGAACAAGACACTTGGCTTTTAGTGTCGGGATTATGCTTCACTTATTTCACAAGTTTGGTCAATCACCAATATTGAACAAGATAAACTACGTGTATATTTATCTAATAGTGGTGCGTTTTGGAATTACTAGAATATTCTCTGTATTATATTCATAAATTGAGAAAAATATACAAGTAGTTCCGATTATAAGATGTTATTGTGTTAAGTCCTCGTACTTTTAAAAGTTATAAAAGTGTCCACTAATCTTAGGACGTTGCTTTGTTGAATTTCTTGACTATTAAAGGTTACAAAATGATCATCCTAGACATGATAGTAATCTGAGTTTGACGTTAACATCATGACTGAGTTATGATAAAATATGATATCATAATCTCAAACGATTATCATATTTCAATCAGCATGTTAACGTCCAACTCAAACGATCATCAATTTATAACAGAAAATGATGAATTTGATATATATGAATAGTCATTAGACTATTTTATAACTTTTAATAGTCAATTGACTCAACAAAACAACATTTTATGATTATTACATCATTTTGTAACTTTTAATAGTCAGAGAGTCAACAAAATAATACTTTATAATCAGAAGATTATTTGTGTATTTTACATTTATAAATATTAATATAGGTAGAAAGAATAAAAGTATAAAGTAGAAGGGAAACTTATGAGCAATTGGGTATTCAAATGCAATGAATCTTAGGAATTGATTATTACGACTTCTCACGCAATGGAAAACAAAATGAAAAATAAACAAAGGTCCCATTAACCTTAAGTTTAAGTAATAGAAATCTTGGTTAAATTATAAATTTGTACTCTTATTTTGGTTAGTAAACTTTTAAAAGTTTTAATTTGATCACTCAATTGTAAAGATTGAAATTTTTTAACATTCCATCATTTTCTTTGTAATTATATTTTATTGATCAAAATATTCAAATTTTAAAATTAAGTTGTCGAATTAAAATTTTAAAAGTGTAGAGATTAAATTTATAATTTTCCTCACACTTTGAAGGAGTGTGTTCACGTGGGGCCCGTAAAATACCGGAAGCTTCAAGGAATGCCACGTGTCCGATTCCCACGATTTGATAGATATAAACGCTCCCATGGAATACGACAAAATCCAAAGCCCACGTTAGATGACCCCAGGAAAAGCAGAAACAAAAAAGAAAAAGAAAAAAAAAAGCCCAAAAAGGAAAAATAAAGGCAAAAGGCCATCGTCCCCCCACGCTCTGACAAAAAACATGCCGTCACGCGCTTTCCACTACGCGACAAAAGAACGTGTCGTTCTCAGTGGCTGTTTCGAAGTTCTCGTGGGGAATCCGGGGGTACGTCGGGCATTTCGAAAGGAGGTTTGGGGGGCAAAAGACTAAAGACGGAACCCTTTGTCGCCACGTGCCCTGGCGTCGGCCGCACGCAGGAAACTATCGTCTCCTTTTTCTTTTCTTTTTTTTGTTTCGTAGCAAAAATTAATCTGTTCAGTACAGCTATTGCCACGACTAGGTTTTGGCTATTTCCAGAAACTGTTTTTTCTCTTTAAAATAATGATGTTAATAAACAATTCAGAACCTGTCTCAAGTAATCTTTGAGAAAAATTGCTTTTATGTCATTAAAAATAAGTAAAATTACGATTTTTGTAATAATTAAAAAATAAATTTATTGAGTTATGTTTACATTCATTATGTCTAAAATTAAACTTAATAAATAATAATAATAATAATAATATTTGATTAAAATTTTATATTACTAAAGAAAAATTGAAAGATAATTAGATAATTCATTGGACTCAAGGAAAAAATTAAGGAAGATGATTAAACGAAATAAAAATAAATAAGTATCAAACAAGAGAAAATAATAAAAAATCATCTTCAACTTAATCGTCTGTAAAAAAATACATCATCCACCTGTTTGAAGCGAACTGTAGAGTCATCAGAAGAAAATAAATTTACACGTTTGGTTAGTATTAAATTATTTAAAATAATAATTAAATTTCGTAATTTTTTCATAATTATATTTAAAATTAGTTTTTGAAAATTAAAAATGGTATTAAGACGAGAATCAATTTAATTAAACGATTAAAGGAATTGATATTATTTTTATAAATCATAAAATTAAACCTATGAGATTAAAAAAATAGAGAAAATAACCTCAATGACCGAAAATACCTTATAATATACAATTTTAACTAATTTTTTTTGGATTTGTCAAAATGACCAACAAATTCGCAACACGAAAGTCGAAATTCGCAATGCATTTGTTTCTTAAGAATTTTCTCTAAAAAGATAGTATCAGTGCGGACGTGTCAAAGACACGATCACGACGGGACGGGCGGCGGCGGCGGTGCGCGAGAGTCCCCCTTGTTCTCTTTCACTCAACAAGGAAGTGGGAAATCCAAGCCTTAAATACTCATTCCCAATAGTATTTCCAATACTATGTGGGATTGAGTATTACCAACACTTGTTTTCAATGCTATGTTGAAACATTTAACATTTAACATTTGGAAGTTGGAACACATTTAACCAAGTGAACATCCTTTCGGTGGCTAAGATAATTAAGTTGAAACACATTTAATCAATGCTTGAGAAGGCAATATACTTGGCGAAAGTTGGGTTAAGAGAAGATAAAAGAGATGATGTGAAGCAAGAGTAAACACTTCGTCGTGTTCCCCCGACGATGTCGTCATCACACCATGTAGCCAACACAAAAGACATTTGATTAACCCCAATGTATTGTGTACATCCTGACACGTAATAATAGAATATGATCTTATGTTAAAAACAAATATCACTTAAATATTGTAAAACAAACCAAGTTTTTCCAACTCGATTACAAATATTACTTAATTATCTTGGCTACCGAAAGGATGTTCACTTGGTTAAATGTGTTCAAACTTCCAAATATTAAATGTTTCAACTTAACATTGAAAACAAGTGTTGGTAATACTCAATCCCACATAGTATTGTAAATACTATTGGGAATGAGTATTTAAGGCTTGGATTTCTCACTTCCTTGTTGAGTGAAAGAGAACAAGGGGACTCTCGCGCACCGCCGCCGCCGCCCGTCCCGTCGTGGTCGTGTCTTTGACACGTCCGCGCGGATACTATCTTTTTAGAGAAAATTCGTAAGAAACAAATACATTGCGAATTTAAAATCGTGTTGCGATTTTTGACTATCGCGTTGCGAATTTGATAATCGTGTTGCGAATCTGGAAACTGAGTTGAAAAATTGGAGTTCACATTACGAATTTTACTTTCTCGTTGCGAATTCAGAACATGGGTTGCGAAATTTGAGACGGTGTTGCGAATTTGTTAGTCATTTTTGCAAATAAAAAAAATGATTAAAATCGTATTTTATAAGACATTTTCGATCACTGAGATTATTTTCTCAAAAAGATATTGTACATTCATTATTAAATAATTTTAAATATTTTAAATTATATTAAATTATAATCATTTTAATTTAATAAAGAAAATGGCATTAGGAATGAAGGACCCACATGAACAGTTAAATTCGGCCGTCCTGCATTGTCGTCTCTATCGTCTCCGTTCTCCTCGCTTAAAACATTTTCCCATCCCTCTCCTTTGACTCTCTTAAAACATTTGCCCCTCTCTCTCTCGCTTCTTTGTTTAAAACATTTTTACTTGGCTGCATATATTAGATATCTTATCGTCCTCTCTCTGGTTATATTTGTGTTGGTGGGTTTGGTTTTTTCAGAAAGGAAGTGTCTCTTCTTGTTCAGAACCAAAAATAAAAAGGAAAAGCCCTTAGAACGAGGAATCAATCGTCACGAAAGAGGCCTCCAAGTACAAAGAAAAGCCACACCGAGAAACCAGATAATTAAAACCAAGGGGATAGGATAGGTGGACGTACACACTCACTCAACTCTTTACCCTTTTTAGTTTCCTTGATGCTATGACCATGTCTTTGTGAAGATTAAGTTTCTTTCCTTTCTGGGTGTTTCTTCAAACCTGCCCCCTTTTCGTTTTTCCCCTTCTTGGTGTTTTTTTCAGCCATGGCTGGTACCAATGAAGTCAACCTCAATGAATCCAAGGTATTTTTTTCTCTTTTTGATCTCACGGGGTTTGTTTGTTTGCTCCATTGATTTCTAGCAAGTTAGTGTTGTGGGGTAATTTGATTTTTTTCCCCTCTGATTTTGAGCTTTTCTTGACGGGATAATTTCTGGAGATTGTTTCGATTTTGCTTTTGTTTTGTTTGATTTGAAGAATTTGAACTTGTCCTTCGTTGATGATCGAAGCTCCTAATCGCTTGGATTTTATGTTGTTGTTTTGTAGAGGGTTGTTCCATTGAATACATGGGTACTCATTTCCAATTTCAAGCTAGCATACAATCTACAGCGCCGTCCTGATGGAACATTCAACCGAGATTTATCGGAGTTCCTTGACCGGCGGGTCCCTGCCAATATCAATCCAGTCGATGGGGTTTTCTCCTTTGATCACGTCGACGGTGCCACCGGCCTTCTCAACAGGGTTTATCAGCCGTCTTCTCTGAACGAGACTCAATGGGGCATCGTCGACCTCGAAAAACCTTTGAGCACCACCGAGATTGTTCCGGTCATTGTCTTCTTCCATGGTGGAAGCTTCACTCATTCCTCCGCCAATAGTGCTATCTATGATACCTTTTGTCGCCGCCTGGTTAGCCTTTGTAAGGCTGTTGTTGTGTCTGTAAACTATCGCCGATCACCCGAACACCGATACCCCTGTGCATATGATGATGGTTGGGCTGCCCTTAAGTGGGTTAAATCGAGAACTTGGCTTCAAAGCGGAAAGGATTCTCAAGTCCATGTATACTTGGCTGGCGATAGTTCTGGTGGCAATATAGCTCACCATGTAGCCGTGAGAGCTGCAGAGGCTGATGTTGAGATATTAGGGAACATTCTTCTTCATCCGATGTTCGGTGGACAGAGGCGAACCGAATCCGAAAAGCGATTGGATGGGAAGTATTTTGTCACACTGCACGATCGTGATTGGTATTGGAGAGCATATCTACCCGAAGGGGAAGATAGGGACCATCCGGCTTGTAATCCATTCGGTCCTCGGGGCCGAAGCATCGAGGGCCAAAAGTTCCCCAAAAGCCTCGTCGTCGTGGCCGGTTTGGATCTCATTCAAGATTGGCAATTGGCATATGTTGAAGGGCTTAAACAATCCGGCCAAGAGGTGAAACTTCTCTTCCTGGAGAAGGCCACCATCGGATTCTACTTCTTACCGAACAACGATCACTTCTACTGCCTCATGGAGGAGATAAAGAACTTTGTGAATCCAAACTGTTAATAGTCTCTCTACTTTAACCTAAACTACTGGCAGCACATACGTAACGAAGCATGACGAAATTCACTCGGTTTTTCCCATTCGCGGTGGCAAAGGAGTTCTTCTCAGTTGTGGTTCCAACGTCCGAGGATTTCAACCGAGCCACCGGTTATAAAAAAACCACTCCCCAGTCGGCTTCCGGCCACAAATAACGGAAGAGCAAAGGCTGCAGCGTAATGTACTATTATTTGTTCGTTTATAAATCGGTCTTAGGAATTGGTAGGAACTAATTAATGAACTTTTATGTTATATATAAACTGTATGTCCCCGAGTTAAATATAAAAATTTTGTTCCCATGCTCAAAACCTTGCTTCTGGGTTTGTTTTGCTATGAAGAATCTGATCCTTAAAGCTACATTTGAATGCTCGAGTTCGTTTGAGAATGTTGGTTTCAGACAAGCAAATCCTTTGTCTGCTCGGGCATGGTGCAGCAATTGGAGTAAAGTCAATTAGACTTAAATTGTATTACGAGTGTCATCTTGTTAATATTTATTTGATTATCGATTAATAAATCGGATATAAATATTTATACCAACAAAAGTAGTAACAATTTCTTCCTCATATTAGCAGCAAGTGACATAAATGTCAAATTATAGGGTTAGTGGCCAACTTCAAAAACCCCTATGCCAATCATTTCCACACTAATAAATACTTGTCAGCTAAGTAGAAAATTCAACTACTTAGTAATGTCAAATAAATAAATAAATACAATAAATAAAGAATATGATGATTAATGTAGCAAGTCATCAGTTTTTTTATATAAATAATAAAGAAATACAGTGATAGGGAATTTTTAAATTACATAATTATTTAATAATTAAAAAAATAATTAAAAATTAAGGGCATTGGATTTGGATGGTTGAAAGGGCACTAAGTGGTAGGAGAAGACCGACTAAGGCTTATATAAAGACATGGAACCTTGTCTGTGTTTAATTGACTTTTCAGGCCTTTGCTTAGAATATATGCTTTGTTTTTTTCCTTTATTATTCACGTTGATGATTATTTAAACTGCATAATTAAGTTAACTGCAATTGGAATTAGTTATTTATTTATAGTTAATTATTTTTATATGTTCTCCAATTATGATTATCGTTTCAAATTAATTCTTAAACTTTTGAGTATTTCGATTTTATCTTTAACATATGATTCTCGTTTTAAATTAATCACAAACCTTTAAATCTTTTAATTTCACCATCGAATTCATCCAAAAATGCAGTTGATTGCAACTATAGTTTAATATGATATTTTTTTCCAAACATGTATAATGTAACGGTTAACGGTTTATTAACTTATACATGGTTAGCATATACCGATCATGTAAGATGAAATTAAATATTTAAAAGTTTGGAAATCAATTTAAAATGAGGATTATAAAATTAAGAACCAATTTAGAATAAAATTATAGTTTGAAGATGAAATTGAAACATTCAAATATTAAAATAAAATAAAATATCTAAAGGGTAAAATACGCATTTAGTATTTAAACTATCAGTTTTGGTCCATTTTAATACCTAAATTTTCATTTTGTTCAAAACCATACCTAAAGTTCAGTTTTTTTATTTTATTTTAGCATCCCTTCCAAAATTTAACGCTAAATTTTAAAAAAAAATATAAAAATTTTATTAAAACATATCAAAATTGATAATTTAAGTACTAAAAATTAAATATAATTTTAAAAAAAATTAAAGTACTAAAACAGATAAAACTGATAAGTACATGCGTTGTTTACCCTAATTTAAAAACACACAATACAATCAATTCTTTTGGTCTCTCTTTTACTTTCTCCTTTAGATTTCCAATGGGCAATTGACATAATATTTTATTATTTTGATTGTGTCTTATTCTGAACCTGTGGGCTGCGGGCATTGTAGATTAGCTGTCTGTATGTGTTGAAATTTATTCCCTAATGCGACAAAATGAAGAATCATTGTCAACAAAATTGCCTTTTTAAACTTGAAATGGGACAAAATCCTTAATTTACTTTTGGCTCAACTTTGCCTCGTAAATATTATTTATTTTCTTTTACAAGTCACATTGCTTGCCGACTGCCCCATTCACACCTAAAACACACAAATATGTTCCCTCTTTACTCAAAATCAATCCTTTTATTTCTTTAGGGACCATTCAAATATTTTACATTTATTATTATTTAACCAACTTTATTCCCAAAAATTTCTATTTTGAGTGGGAATGAAGTAAAAACGACGATTTCAATTGAATTACGTTATGTTACCGGTGTCTATCTTTATCTATCATGTTTGAGTTACTAACATAACTCATTTGTCCTGTCATCCGTTACGTTATCAACTGTCGTAAACTGTCAAGTCAATTCTACGGACGTTATGTCACTCGGTTTTGATCGATGTAAGCATGTATGGTTCAATGATCAAGGGTGTCAAAATCTGGGAAGCAAAATGATGTAACGGGGTTATTACCAATGCATGTATTTGGTTTACCTGTACCGCTGTAGGAAAACATGTTTAGTGGTAAAATTATTACAATATTTTTACAGCTGCAAACATCCCATAGCCAATTTGATGCAATCTGGGGATTATTTTTTAAAACGTTTTTCTTTCAAACAGAAAATTATAGAATTGAGTTATAAAGAATTTGATGTTTTTTTAAATAAAATATTTAATTAATGTCAATGAAAAAATATCTATAAGAGTGATCTTTATTTCTTTTTCAAACCTATCTCAGTAATTGAATTCTAAATATAATTACAATTCATATGATTATTGATTGGTATTAATGCGATAATTCGTGTATGAATGATGACGTGTCAAAGGGGTTGAATTGATTTTTTAATCGACTTCGAGGGTGTAGTTGTTTTTTGGCCGAGTTCGAGGACAATTGGTTTTAATTGAAAGTTTCGAGGAATAAAGACATTTTGTTAATTAATTAAACCTTCAAATTCGATGAAAAAATCAATTATGCTATTGGAGTCGATTAAAAATAATCTAATTTACCTTTACATCATATTATCATTTACACGTGAATTATCATGTCAATATCATAATTAAAATAATATAATATCACGTAAATACGTAACGATCAACGTGAGTTAAAAAAAATTATAATGATAAAGGGAAATGACCGGGCCTTAATGAGTTGGACCAAGCACTGAACATGGAAAATAAAGAGGCAAAAGCTTGGACCGCCGATCCAAATATATATATATATACACATGCTGTACTGGATAAAGATCACGCTTAAACCCAACCATGAATCTTATGTTATATGATGATATTTCAATGTAAACTGGACCCCAAAGTCATCTCTTTGACATCTCATATTATCTACGGGGAATTCCTTCAAATTTAGGTTAGTTTTACATATGCATATATTTATTCTTACTATTAATGTTGTTTAATCTATTTATTAAATTTTATTCGTGTAGATAATATATATATATATTAGAAGTAGTAAATTTATGAATTTTTTGAGGATCTAAAATAAACTATTATTAAAAAATAAAAAAAATTATTAAAGTTATATGAAAATTAAAATTAAAATGGACGAGAATTCTATGCATCTCTATTATTAGGGGTTTTGACGTAATATTGTTTGTTAAAGTAGGTGTGCATATCCCACCTTTAACGAGCATATTGATTATGATGTATCAAATGATATTGATTATGGGTAATATATTTTTTAGGTACTTTTTTTCTCCTTTTTAGGGTTAAAAGTAGGGGTGTTTAATTGGTCTGTTTGGTTTACCAATCGAACCGAATTTTAAAAATCCACTAATTGAATGTTTTTTCGAAAAATATCAATTTTGATATATTTTAGTATTTAAAGTTTTATTTTTTTTAAAAATCATATATGATATTTATTTTTTGTTTCATTTTAGTACCTCACTCAGAACCGTCTCAAATATTTTTGGGGCCCTGAGATAAAATTAAATATAGACCCTTATAAAACGAAAGTATATTATATTACTTTGAAAAATTAACTTAATATTACATTAATAAATCATAGAAAATGATTAATTTAGGGGCTTAAACTATAAAAGTAAAAAGTGTAATTGAAAAAAATTAGAGACACCAATTATAAAGGTAAAAAGTGAGATAAAAAATCAGGGGTCTCAATTATAAAATTAAAAAGTGAGATTGAAAAAATTAGAAGTTCAAATTATAAATATATAAAGTGAGACTGAAAAATTTAAGCTCATCAATTATAAATGTAAAAAATAGGATTGAAAAAATTAAGGGTTTATTTATAAAGATAAAAAATAAAATTAAAGAAAATTAAATGACTCAACTATAAAAATAAAACATATAATAGAAAAATTAGTGCCCTATAAAAGATGAGGCCTTGTTGCTTAGGGTGCACCCCTAATAGACGGCCCTGACGTCACTGTTAAAAATTTAACATATTTAATATTTAATCTATCAATTTTGATTTATTTAACGTCTAAACTTCTAATTTTTTTAAATTTAAAGTTAAAATTTGAACAAAACACTAAGAAAATAAAAAAAAACGACTAAAAATCAAAATTGATAGTATAAATGATAAATACGTAATTTACTCAAAAACAAGCTCCACCTATCAAAGGACACGCGTCATTACGTGAATCGATCATTTCTTTCTTATTGCACCTCTCCAATCCAAATTATTACATTTGCCGGCAAACTCCGTATCTGAATGAATCTCAGGATTCTATACCAGAACGAAAAAAGGGCAAGCTCTATTCATCTCTTATCCACTTCGCGATTCTTTAAAGTCTTCATTTTTTCTAAAAAGAACAGACCTTTCATTTAGTATCCAGTTCTTGTTTGTCGTTGTTGCGTTCAAAGTAAGCTTGGATTTTCTCTCACAATCGAATCTTTGTTTCGTAAGTTTGACTCAGTGGTAACTGTAACATATTCGGAGCAACTGAGGAATAAAGTTTACCTTTTGGCTTGTTTTCGGAACTGGGTTTGGTTTAAACTTGACGATCATCACTAAATTCATGGTGGTGGACTGGATTTCATGTGATATTTAGCTAACTAAAAAGGTAAAAATACTCATTGTTTTGGGTTTCTTACATCTTTTTCTGGGTATGAAAAGTGACTTAACATTGGTCAAACTGTTCGTTTGTCTATTAGAATTCCTTGTTTTGTTTGTTCTTGGCATTTCGAAACTCTCATATGCCCAATTTCCATATTTTTCTTTTGCTTTTTCAGGTTTGATCTGTTAAGAACCCAAATTATGTACTTTGGTGTGAAGGGTTAGGAGAATGTTTGTTACAGCCGGTGGGATTGTGAAATGGGGTACGCCATGAGTAGGCTGGATATAGAATCTGATTTGTTTGATGGTGGTAATGCCATTACCGAATCCGGTAGCAGTAATAAGCCCGACGAACCATTGCGTAAAGTAGACGACGAGATTGCGCAGCTTACGAACCTCAGTTCAGGGCCTCCTGATGGACTGTGTCGATTCATGCCTGGAAAGCAGCAATTACCTGTTTCACCGGTGAGGATGTTGGCAGGTCGAGAAGGTAATTTTTCTGGACGAGGTAGATTCTCGTCGGCAGATCGTTGCCACATGCTTAGCAGGTATTTGCCAGTACATGGTCCTTGGCTTGTGGACCAAACGACCAGCCGGGCCTATGTTTCTCAATTTTCAGCCGATGGTTCTCTGTTTGTTGCTGGATTTCAGGTATCTGGTCATTGCCTTATATCCAAGTGAGATTGACTTGATATTGAATTGATTGGATGATAGGCAGCAACATATTTGATTTAATTTGATTGTGAATGTTTGGTTCCAGGGAAGCAATATTCGAATATACGATGCAGATAGAGGTTGGAAAGTTCAGAAGAACATTATTGCTAAAAGTTTGCGTTGGACAGTAACTGATACATCCCTTTCTCCGATCAGCGCCATCTCGTGAGTTCGCACATGCGGTTAATTTCAATCGAGTTTCTTTTACTCATTATTCTAAACACATTTTCTGATGCTAAGGGATATATTGCTGGAATAAACTCTCCCTATCTCGTTTTAACTTGTCTAAGTGTCTTCTTTCCTGTGAACTAGAATTTTTCGAAAACTACTAGAACTTTGCATCACCATTTTCTTAAGCTTTTATGTATTCTACTAGCACTTCAGCTTTTGCTGCAAACAAGGGTTCACAGTGATAAGTCGAAGTGGGTAGCTTCTGAGTGCCAAACATGTTAGTGTATCATTTAGGATGTTGTGGTCTCACTCTCTATGGGGCATGAAAAACAATACCAGATAAAACTCTAGTCTCTAACGTCCCCCAGTCCTTGTTTTGTGTTCTAAAACGGAACAAAAATAGGAAGTCGTTTCATGAATTTGTGCAGAAGGCGAGAGACATCCACTGCCTACACAGAGCTTGTAACCCACGTAATAGATTTTTCTGCATGTCTGTATATGCACCCGTGCATGCCTTCTTTGTCTGGTTATCGGTCGGCTTTCATTTTTGCAGATATTAGATATCTTAATCAAATTTATATTCCTTTTTTTCAGGTTTATACCAGCATGTCACCTATAGTTCATATTGTTAATGTCGGGTCTGCTACCACCGAATCCCATGCAAATGTCACGGTAAGATGATTTCCTTTGTAATCATTGAAATTAGGATCACTATGAATTTATAGGTTTCACATACGAGACTTTCATGTCAGGTCGTGACTATTACGTACACACACACGTGCACACATATATGAAAAGTGAGAATGAATAGAGTAACTAGAAGGATCGTATTTTTGGGGTAAGCATTTGTGGTTTTGAAGTTGAACAATACAAAATATTTTGATCATGGATGTCTAGTATATTCATCGAAGCATTAATTTTCCCAACAACTTTTTGTTCTCACTTTTGGAGTTCTAATGTTTATCAGGAGATCCATGAAGGATTGGACTTCATTTCTGATGACTATAGAGGATATTCTTTCGGAATATTCTCTGTGAAATTTTCAAACGATGGACGAGAACTTGTAGCTGGAAGCAGTGACGACTCCATATATGTTTATGATCTTGAAGCAAACAAGCTTTCCCTTCGAATTGTGGCACACACTGTCGGTTCACTTATTGTGTATTCTCAATGTGGTGATCCCTTTCCCTATTTGGATCTCTAGTTTCAGGGGACCTAAAGTTCATTTGTTTTTCATCTTGCAGGCTGATGTTAACACGGTAACTTTTGCCGATGAAAGTGGCAATTTGATATATTCCGGGAGTGATGATAATCTCTGTAAGGTAAATTCAAGTCGAAGAAAGCCTGAACACATTACAGAAAGCATGGGGTGTAGAGATGCTGTATTTTCACTTTTGATTAAGTAAAAGAAGATAACGTTTTGATTTCGTTTAGGTGTGGGATAGACGTTGCTTCATTGCAAAAGATAAGCCGGCAGGAGTCTTGATGGGACATCTAGAAGGTATTACATTTGTTGACAGTCGTGGAGATGGTCGTTATTTCATATCGAACGGTAAAGATCAGACTATAAAGCTTTGGGATATCAGAAAAATGTCCTCCAATACCTCTTGGTATGCCTTTTTCTTTTGGCTTCCAATGTGCCTGGTTTAGATCTTCTGTGCATGCATATGTCGTGTGTGCATGCTAACTAACAGAACTTTGTTTATTATCGACATGAATTTTGGCTATTTTGAAGCTAAAGTTGAAGACATTTTCATCTGTTATTGCAGCAATTTAGAGTTTAGGAATCATGAATGGGATTACAGATGGATGGACTACCCACCACATGCTAGGGATTTGAAACACCCCTGTGACCAATCTGTGGCTACTTATAAGGGTCACTCGGTCCTTCGTACTCTTATTCGCTGTTATTTTTCCCCTGTATACAGGCGAGTTTTCTTATCGGTTGTTTGCTGATATTAGTCAAATAACATGTCACCAAAATTTTCGATCCTTTTGTTGCAGCACGGGACAACGGTACATTTACACCGGATCTCACGATTCTCAGTTTATATTTACGACGTGGTAAGTAACCAACCAAAATTTGATATGCTTTTCCTATGGTTGCCTTTGGAGTCAATGTTTCATACAACATTAAGACATCTATAGATATTCAGACTATGATGCTTTTTGTTCGACTCAGTGTGCGGTTGTGTATGTTACAAAAACGTCGATTGCCGTCTGATAAGACGACATGCATCGAATGATTATACCGAAATGAGTGCGAAATAGAGACTGCAGCATAATGTGCTAAGTCATTGCATGAAAACCAACACTGCTGGCCTATGCTATACAACCAAATTCACTTTTACCGACCGTAATAACACGGTTATATCTTACAGGTAACCGGAGCTCAAGTTGCAGAACTAAAGCACCATACGTCTCCGGTAAGAGACTGTAGTTGGCACCCAAGCTACCCTATGCTGGTCAGCTCTTCTTGGGATGGGGACGTGGTTAAGTGGGAATTCCCCGGTAACGGAGAAGCACCATCCCCTACGAACAACAAGAGAGTTCGGAGCCAATATTACTATTGAAGGTGATTTGTAGAATCTGTACTCTATAATCATACTACATGCACAATATCGTTTACCGTATCTGCCTGTGTTTTAAGTAGCAGCATACATGAATAAATAATACAACTATGTAAGTTTGTTTATACGGTTCAATGAAACCCTATTTTTCGATACGAATGTATAGAATAATCTTACTCGTTCAAACTTGGTTAATTTACGCCGCTAATCACAGTAAGAAAATATAACATTATAAAGCGGTAAAACAAATGGGTTTAAAATTAATAACATTAGGCCATTTGTAGTCCTTTAACTATTCTGATAAATAAATTGGGTTAAAATTTGAGCTTACTAATATTTGCTGCACTCATGTGCCCAGAAATTGTAATATTATTATAATATAACATCCAGTCTCAATCAAACCTGATATTAGTTGATTCTGTTTCTTCTTCTTTATCATGTGTGAAAGAGTCGGTTGATCTGGTTGGTTTAAGTAAGTCTCAAATTTGAGTCATTGTGTATGCAAGAAATATCTGTTGGAGACTCATCCACCAAAACTAAATATACGAGAGTTCGAATTAATTCAGACAAAAAAAAAAGGTTTGGTTGGTTTTCATTACGAAGAGGACAAATGTGTAACCTATTAGGACCACTTCTATTTCTGGATTGACTTATATAACAGATAAGTACGTAAGTATATTACATATTTTTTTATTTAAATACTTAAAATATTTTATGGGCAAAATAAATATTTAAATTTATTTTTTCTATAAAAATAAGTACCTAAGTATTTTTTGATCAAAATAGGTACTTAAAAGTATTTAATTTTTTTTATCTAAGTACTTAAAGAATTCTTTAACTAATGTCACATGTCAACTTTTTGAGAAGTTAGATGACAAAATTTATATAATTTAAATACCTATTTTGACATAAAATATTTTTGAAATATATTTTGATAGAAAATGATATTTTAAGAACTTATTTTGACTAAAAAAATACTTTAAATACTTAAATAAAAAGGATGATAAATATTAGATATGTTTTTATGATATAAACCTTCTAGATCCGTAATAACTAAGTTTGTTGCCGTAAAACCTTAGAATTCAGTGGCGAAATCCGTCGAGAAAGTGACTTCTGAAGGGAAAGGCAAGAATTAGGAGCTGAAGCCAAGTAGTGGCAGTGCTAAAGACAGCGATTTTTCAGTTGTGTCAAGCAATCCATCTATGGCTGAGGAGGAGGATCTCAGCAGCATTGATGATAATAAAGAAACTCATAGCAGGAACCCGAGCTCCTCCAATGGGATGAGCTGAGAAAGCGACAAGTACTGCAGAAGAAGATGAGGATTTGAGCTGGGATATTGAAGATGACGATGGCGAACCTGTTAAAGCCTGATGAAAAACGATAATTTGATGTTTGTTGCTCAGAATTTATTGCATTCTGTTGTTTCTTCTTCCTTGTATTCCTTTCCCTTTTCATTTGAAATGCAAATATCTTCTAGGATTGATGTAGTTTTAAGACGATTGAAAAGAAATTGAAGCATCTGTGTACATACTAAAACTGCTTTACTTGTGGCCATTTTACTAAACCTTTATATTGATTCATTGACATATTGGTATGATCTTGAACCCTGGTTTTTAAACTTTGATGCCTGGTTCGGTAGATTTTGCAGCATGTGTTTCAACTTTCAACAGCTGAAGGTGATGCAAGCTTTCTTCCTTTCCGGGCATGCGGTGGAAGGTGATTAGTAGGTTTCTTTGATCGATCCCACAGTCCATGGCGAGAGCAACCCCGTGTACCACCACGAGGAAATTTTCCGAGCGAGCATGGCAACCGGACCATGGAGGACCTCCAAATTTCGGCATCATCATTACCAGTGCAACCTAGCCATTAATAGTCATTATGGTTCCCACCTATATTATGTACATAATGTTACATTCTAATCCAAATAGTTAGTGGTAACTACTTGAACTAACTAATGGTATTGTGAAAATAAATCATCATTTTTTATTAAACTAAAGTGATTATTAAATAATGTGTTTTAAATAATTGAATTTTATTAAACTAAAGTGATTATAAAATAATATGCGTTTTAAATATTTTTAATTATTTGACAATGAACTCTTAATCACCTTGTTGCAGTCGTTTGTCTTCGAACTGTGACCTCTACGAACAACAACGATTCCTTTAATTACTGATTTGACAATGAATGCTTAATTACACTGTTGCAGTCGTTGATGTTCGAACTGAAACCTATAGGAATAACAACGATTCTTTTAACTATTGAGATAAGTTGGTTCGTGCATAAATAACCTTAAGAATGATAATGATTCCTTTAATCACTGTGGTAAGTTAGTTTTTAAATAAAACGAAAATCTATACTTGTACTCATTGGTGTTATAATTAAGTTTAGGGTAATTACACTAGAGGTTATTAAACTATGATTAAATTGTTATTTTGATTATTATATTTTAAAAATTACAAAATAATCATTTTAAATTGTTATTTTGATTATTATATTTTAATCATTTTTAATTATTATGATAATTTTGTAACTTTTAAAAGTTAATAAGCATCGGATAAAAGTATAGGGACCTCTTTGTACTTTACCCTTGAGTTTAAATAAAGGAGTGATTGGTGTTGGGGACGGCAAAAAACAAAGATAATTGGGCTCGGAGCCCCTTTTATGTTTCTCCTTCCACTCTAAAAACCTCAACACACAATAACACGATTGAATACTAAAACCCTTCCCCTCGAAACCAGCAGCAAAATCCCCCATTTCCCATTTTCTAGCAACAGATCAAAGCCTAAAGCATAATCAAATGGCTGCTCTCGTCCTTCGAAGCTCTAATTCGAGGCGCCTTTTCTCATTCTCTTCCCCAATTTACTGGTCCTCTCGTGGCTCCATCTCTTCTTCCCACTTCTCAGTCTCCGATTTCATCTCTGGAAATGAGGCGGCGGTTCCAGCTAACGCTAACCCCTGGTGGAGATCCATGGCTACTTTCACTCGCACGTTGGTTCTATCCATTTCCTTTTTCGGAATAGATTAAATGTCTTTCTCTTTGTTACTTTCAACTCTCAAACCTTTTCGGGGGAGGGTGTGTGAGGTATATTTGTTCTTTTTGCGGGTTTAGCTGGTGAAAGTTAGTGCTTTGAAAAAATAGAAAAAAAGGCATTTTCTTCAACATTTTTGGGTTTACCTGTTTGTGAAGTTTGAAACATGATATCCAAACAATGAAAAGAACAAAGGTGGAAAATGGGTTCTCGTTTTAACGGTTGAAACGGTTTTCTTTTTCCAGAAAACCTCATGTTAATGTAGGAACAATTGGGCATGTTGATCATGGGAAGACCACACTGACTGCCGCAATCACAAAGGTTGACTTATGGTTATGCCGTTTTCTCTCCACAAATTATGTCACTTCGGAATAGTTATGAAGCCGTTATTAGCGTTACAATAATGATTTGATGACAGGTTGTGGAATTTTGTGAATAGGTTCTGTCAGACGAAGGAAAAGCCAAGGCTGTTGCGTTTGATGAAATTGACAAGGCCCCTGAGGAGAAGAAGAGAGGAATTACAATTGCAACGGTTGGTAATTTTTGTTTTCTCTTGAATAAGTTTTATGCAATTTCTCTCTTGAATATTTTTCTCCTTGCACTGTTATCACGCTTGATTTGATTTTGCAGGCTCATGTGGAGTACGAGACAGTGAAGCGACACTATGCTCATGTAGACTGCCCTGGTCATGCTGATTACGTTAAAGTAAGTCCTTAATTTAATATTGTAAATAAAAGTATGTTTCTAGAATCTTTTGCTGCAAACCTTGCTGGAGATGTTACACACACACAAAAATTGTTCTCTTATTACAACTTCAATTTTACTTCTACTGCTAGTCTTATCCATTTTCACAAACTTAGGCACCGATACTAAACATCTTGAATTGTTGTTTCATATTTTATTTTATTAATGCACAGCAGCCCTTAACTTAATAATGTAAATAAAAGTATGTTTCTAAAATCTTTTGCTGCCAAACCTTGCTGGAGATGTTACACGCACAAAAAAAGAAAATTGTTCTCTTATTAAAATTTCAATATTACTTCTACTGCTAGTCTTGTCCATTTTCTCAAACTTAGGCACCGATACTAATCATCTTGAATTGTTGTTTCATATTTTATTTTATTAATGCACAACACTATTCTAATTGTCAAAACTCTTATGAGCAGTGGCCTAACCATGACATGTTCTGCAGAATATGATCACTGGTGCTGCTCAAATGGATGGTGGTATCCTGGTTGTGTCTGCTCCTGATGGGCCAATGCCACAGACTAAGGAACATATTCTACTTGCTCGACAGGTGGATACATTACTATTAGCTGCTTGAATTATTCATCTTGGATGTTTGCCTGTGGTTTCAGAAGAGAGCTATTTATTTACATGTAAAATGTTTCTCTTCTACAGGTTGGTGTGCCTTCTCTTGTGTGTTTTCTGAATAAAGTTGATGCTGTTGATGATCCAGAGCTGTTGGAGCTTGTAGAGATGGAACTTCGTGGTAAGTAGCATTTTGAGTTATTCTTGTGTGTTCATTGTTTTGACTTCTTGGAACTAATTCGCATAAGTTTATACTTCCAACAGAGCTTCTTAGCTTCTACAAGTTTCCTGGGGATGAAATACCTATTATTCGGGGATCAGCATTGTCTGCTTTACAGGGTACAAATGAGGAAATAGGCAAAAATGCAATTTTGAAACTAATGGAGGCCGTAGATCAGTACATTCCTGACCCTGTGCGCCAACTTGACAAACCTTTCCTGATGCCAATCGAAGATGTTTTCTCAATTCAGGTACTGTGCCATGCATTTTCTTTCCTTAATACTAGTTATTTATTCTGGTTTTGCTGAATCAGTTGTTTTAGCTCTCTTTTGTGGCTTTGGTTATCATCTGTCTCGGTATTTCTTCCCTTTTTAGCCATCCAAACTCCTTTTGGATTGTATTAGATGTCAAGTAACTAGGTTGTGGCTATAATATTATTGTCATTTTCCCGATCTCTATCTCATGTTGATGTTAGGATGAAGACATGGGGCTTAATGCTTGGAAATGTTAGCCTTTTCATTTAAAATATGATAATGTTACTTGCACATTTTCTTTTGCTGGAATTGCAATCATATCTTTTCCCCTTCTATATTTGA